TGTTTCAAGCCTACCTCAGATACCCCTGAGGTCTGGCCTTTTCACTACCTGACATCCTTGTGTTCTTTGAAACATGGTTAAATAAATCTGTTTCAGATCAGGATATTGCTATTAAGAGTTATAATGTTTTCCGCTGTGATCATCCCAGGAAAGGTGGAGGTGTGTTTGAAAAACAACTTTCATGCAACTCTCCTCTGTATCTGTTGCTAAACACTTTGAATTTCTGGCTGTTAAACTTCAATTTCAGCAAAATCAGTCTCTCACAGTCATGGGTTGTTATAGGCCTCCCTCAGCTTGAGTTGGCATGGACATTTTTTAAAGATGATTTTTCAAAGGTTTTACACAAACATGCACCTCTGCGTAAATTCAGGATAAAGGGGCGAAATAACCCCTGGTTTTCCACTGAAATTAGTAATCTCCTTAGACAGAGAGATCACGCATGGGCTAAGGCTAGAAAAACAAAATTGGAGGCTGACTGGATTAACTTTCGTCAACTTCGCAATAAATGTACCTCTAAAATTAAAAAAATCTAAATCTGAATTTTATTTATCAGAAACCACCAAAAATCTAAATGATCCAAAGAAGTTTTGGAATACTGTGAGATCAATTTCTGGTGGTATGCCTTCTAGTGAAATGCCAAACTTCTTGGTCAAAGACTCCGTAAACCTGACTGATAAATGTGCCATGTTAAATTATTTTAATGAACATTTCATTGCAGCAGGGGACTTATTTAATTTGTCTAATAGTGATCCAACAGTAGAAAAAACTGTACCTGTTAGCTCTAAACCTGCTGAAAATGTTTTTCATTTTACACAGGTATGTGTCTCGGAGATACGTGGTGCACTACAAAAAATTGACTCTAAAAAAATCAGCTGGTCTGGATCATCTGGACCCTTTCTTTCTAAAACTAGCTGCTGATTTGACTGATGAGCCTTTCACTTGTATTTTTAACCTAAGCCTCATCACAAACAAAGTTCCTGAAGTCTGGAAATCTGCATTCGTTCTTCCATTATTAAAAGGAGGTGAGCTGTCAATCGTGAACAATTATAGACCCATCTCTAAATTATGTATTTTAGCAAAAGTGTGTGAAAAGTTGGTCTGTGATCAACTGAAAGAATTCTTAGAAACAACTAATCTTTTAAACCCTTTTCAGTCAGGTTTTAGGAAGCAGCATAGCACTGCAACTGCTGCTCTAAAAGTTTTAAATGATGTGTTTGAGGCACTGGATTCTAAAAAGGTTTGCTGTGCTCTGTTTATTGATTTATCCAAGGCATTTGAAACGGTTGATCACACTATCCTGGTAAAGATTCTTCTCAAACTGGTCTTCTCCATAGAAGCATCTTAATGGTTTGGAGATTATTTGGCAAATAGGACACAGTGTGTACAGAGGGCTGGAGTAAGCTCAAGTTTTCTTAAAGTAAAAGAGGGCGTACCCCAGGGCTCTGTCTTGGGGCCCATCTTATTTACAATTTACATTACTTCACTGTGTGAAAATTTGCAAAATGCCTCCACTTTTATGCTGATAATTGTGTAATTTACTGTTGTTCAAATTCAATTGATCAGGCACTTAAATTCTTACAGGCTGCTTTTGATGAGGTGCAGATTTGTCAGGGGAGGGTAACAATGGTCTTGAATTTCCTTCATTTGTACACAATCTGGCTGACTGTGGATTGGTGGAGTCCAAACACTTTAGAGATGGTTTTGTAACCTTTTCCAGCCTGATGAGCATCAACTGCTCTTTTTCTGAGGTCCTCAGAAATAATGTTCCCTCTATATTTTCATGTGTCTGGGCAAACACACGAGCTCCCTGAGCACACCGAGGACCACTGTGAAATTTCCATTAGTTTACCTTTATTATAAGTGATTTGGCCCACTTAAAATGAAAAAGACCATAATCTTGTTGTTCATGAAATGTGTAGTATGTTTTATGTGAGAGTCCAGCATTGGTCTGGGTGAAGGTCCAGTTGTGGTCTGGATGAGGGTCCTGCTCTGGAAGATGGTTAGCAACACAGTGACCATTGGTGTCAGAAGCATATTTGTAATGGGTGGGGGGGAGGGGGGGACACACACACACTGGTGGGGGTGTCTGGGGGTCCTCTCTCAGAAAATTTTGAATAAAGTAGATGCCATTTCAGAGTCAGAGATACTTTATTGTCATTTGCACCTCATGTGGTACATGTGGTGGAGCGAAATTATGTACACAGGGTCCCAGTTACATCCAACAATAAAATGTAAAAGAAAAACAATGATAACATGTAAGATATGAACTAAGAAAAACATCAACTTAATATACACTAATAAATAAATATAAATAAATATAATTATAATAAATAAATATAATATATATAAATATATATAAATATAATAATAAATATATACTATTTCCTACATTCTGGTGTATTTTAACAGGTTGTTAAACATCTAGTTTTACCTACACAAGTAAACACTTGATTCAGTAACTATTTTAGAGTTAATGGAACAACAATGGTCTGACCAACAGCTCTCCTTGTGCGAATAGAGCACGCTCCGCTTCTCTCACACATCCTAGTCACAGTCTAAGAAACACAGTGAAGCCTAAGTTTTAGGGATTTTTTTTCATTTACCCTTTATTTATACAGGTAGTCTCATTGAGCCATGAGAACTCATTTTCAAGAGAGACATGTTTAGGGAACAAATGGGGGTTAAGGGCCTTGCTCAAGGGCCAAGAGTGGGGCGAATGAGGTTGGGGGCAGGTGTGGGTGCTTCACCTACCCTACCCACATTTTTGATGTTGTTGGTACCAGGGCTTGAACCAGCGATCTTCTGATCACTGGCCCACCTTCTCTAACCTCTGCGCCACCACTCCCCAAGTTTTAGGGAAAAAAATCACTAGCCAATATGAAACGATAATAATGATAGTCAATCCCTCTTACCAATGGCCTAGCATAAAACAATATGATCATCATCCATCGTGTTTATTAGTAGCATAAAATACTTAGTTAAAACTCCAGTAATGTACTAAGTCTACAGTAACCATAGGCATCGCAACCATTATATTTGAAGGGGACATGTCCCCCCCCCCCCCCCCCCCCATCCAACAAAACGTTCATTTGGACCCCCCACTTTACTATGAAACATTAGTTCAGGCGGCACAGTTTCTCTTTCTTCGTGAACAAATCCATTCCACTTGATTAATAGGAGAATAGTCAAGCCACTAAAACTCCACTCCAGGTTTTCCTGGTTACCTCCCACTCACTGTTTCTCCTCTACATCTCCTCCTGCTTTGGCAGAAAATGCATACAGGTGGAGGAGGTGGAGACACCTCTGTGTTGCTTGCTCTCCAGTTTAGCGAGGCATTTATTTCTTA